AACCTAAACCCCCCAAAACGCCCCTACCTCTTGTGGGCATGACTTGCGTCAATTATTGAGGGGAAATCCCCTTCCATTCGTTCTTTTTTCCAGGGGGTTTTCTGCTGCCTGTTATCTGACGCTTAACATTTCCCAGCTTCCTAGCAGCAGCAGATGAATTCATCTATCCATCTATCAGTTCCGTGCCAGCTTCCAGTTCGAGAACCCAAACGCATTTAATTTATATAAGTCACGTGAGCGGCATTTTTTATGCGGAAAAGCCATGAGAGGATAGAATGGTGGTGGTGTTGTGGTGGTGTCCTGGTCCAATCAGAGGAAAATCCGGATTTGGCAGCCTGATTTGATGAGTTTTGCAACCCCCACAAAGGGGTTTTTGCTTAAAAAAAAAATCGGAAAACATTTTGAGCTGTAGAGAAAGGGCCTTCAAGAAGAGTCTTAATTTGTCCTAAATTACAGATGATGTATTCTTATATTTCTTTAGACTCTATATATGCAAATTATCTTCTAAAATTCCTTTCCAAAAAAAATAAGGATTTTTAACCCTTAAGTAATTGAAACATCTCACATAAACCCCCATTCTCTATGGACCTACATATTGCTAACCAAATTTGACAGGCTGGCAAGTACTTGGACAAATAATAACTGTCAACTAATCGTGATGGAGTGGATTTATGTGGGGCCGAGATTTAGTGACTAAAAATGAGTGGAGTGCATCCATTTCGTATGCGTCTTTGGTCTTTGCATTTTGATTTATTAGCCTAAGCGACCCCGGACCCCCTCGAGGCTCCTGGTTCTCTATGAGAAGACTCAGCTCTCTTTTTGGCTTAAGTGAATTATATATTTTATGTGTGGCTCTGCTCATGTCGCCACGAACATCATAAATCACACAAAAGTCCATTTGTATTTCACACTTCTTGGCACGTGACTCTTTCAAGCGGATCTCTCGGTGGAGATCTTTGACTTTGGTTTCTCTTCTGCCTTTTGGAGTTTTTATTATATTTGTTTACTTTATTTTCTTTTTGGTAATAATTGTTGATGGCTTCTTAATGGAGATGTTGGCACTGGAGAAGTTTGTGATTGAAATTGCAGAGAGGGGGCAAGATATTGAAAAGATAATTAAAAGGGGAAAAGTAGGAAGGTTATGGGTTTACCTTTGATATTTTTGCATTTGATTATTATATTTTTTCTGAAATAAATTAAAAAGCAATAGAATAATAAATAGAATAAGCATTTTTAACTTTAAATCATAAATAATACAATCTGTATTGACAACAAACCACCCTTATTCTTGATGATTTCTTTTTATAATAACTCACTTTTCTCTAACTCCTTCGCTACCACTTTTCATCTGACATTTTGTCAAAGCATTAAAATAAAAAGGCCAGCTGTCAATCTTCATAATCGATATTTAAGGGCCATTTCCTGTGTTAGTCTTGGACCCATATCAAAAGTAGTTACGGCTCACCTACCTACGATGACCCCTGAAGGGTCTTGTGTTACCCTTCAACTCAACTCCCTCCCTCCTTCCTTCTGAGGAAAAACCTTTGTCTAATCTAGTGAAAACCGAAATGGAAGAACAAACGAACAAAACAGTCATAAATTGAGGCCATTAACAATTGCGTGTTTTGGCATCGTCATCGTCACAGAACCGAACCGAATCGAAATCGAATGGAATGGTGGTATGGCATCCATCGACGACATCATTTCTCGTTGTGTCCCATCGCTGCCGGGGCGGGCAATCAAAAAGTTTAGCTTATGCCATTAAATTGTATTTTTAGTTGGCTCCGCTTTTGCTCATGCAAATGCAATAAATAAGTAAACAAATTAAATGCGCATAAATAACAGCGGAACAGAGGAGCAGCGGAAAAGCAAGCGTCGAAATACAAACGGCAAAGAGGTTAACACATCCCAACTATCGTGCTAATGTGCATAAACTTTTTTTTGTTTCTCTCTCTCAAATACAGTTGGCCAAAGTCTCAGGCACGTGTGGGCCACAAAAATTGGGAGAAAAGCACAAGAAATATGGTGAAAAATAGCTACCGAAAGAGCCAAACAAAACGCAATCCCAGATAACTTAACTAAATCTAAAAAAAAAAAGCGAAAAGGCAACGAAGAACCGCGCAGATTTCGCAGCGTGAAATTTTTTGCAAATGACGCAATTTTTTTTGCAAAAAAAAAAAAAACAACAAAAAACGAAGAACTAGAAAAAATACAACAGTAAAAAGCCAAGCTGACGATATAAAAACAGTAAAAAGAACAACAAATTAAATAAAATAAAAAGCCAGCCAGCCAAGTTGTCGTTTGCTCATTTTAGCGTGACACACATAAGAACACACACACACACAGGGAGAACATAATATAAATTTAATATAAATATACAGTAGGCAATCGATATAGGAAAAAATTAAAAATAAAGAGTACTGTTTTTTAGTTATTTTTTAATAAATAAGGGAATTACGGAACATAATTTAATGTTAAATAGCTTAGTGTGAAATTATGTTTTATAATCCCTTAATTATTTTTAAAATAAATTGAAAAAAGAAAAAACTAAAAAGAAAAGGTACTTTTTAGTTTTTTCTTATAATTTTACTTACTGTTATTTATTAATTGTAATAAATTTTACTAATTAAATACATAATATTATAATTATATAACTAATTTTCTCCCTATACTTCATATATAATAATTATTTAAATAAATTCCCAAGAGTTAACTATACTTTAAAACCTTCCACTGTAAATATATTATATAAATGTGCCCATGTGTTAGCTTACTTATTTAGATATTGTCCGCGTCGTTGCTGTGTGCATAAAATTATTAGAACGATATAATTTCATTATCAGACAAGCGTCGAGGCAGCCAGCTAAGGCAGCTAAAAGAAGAGAGAAAAGTTCATTGGCACACAGGGCGTATGAGTGTTGTTTGGCTCAAGTATTTTTGCAAACAGACAGACACACACATTCGCACACACACTCACTCGCAGTGTAGAGCAGATAAACAATTGCTGACTACTAAAATTGCTGCCTGAATTTATTATTTAATTATGTTTTGCATGCGAGAAGAAGAGGCAGTAGCAAGGGAGAGAGGCCATGGTTGTGCCTAGTCTAGGGCCATGGAAAACTGTACAAATTGTACCCGAGTGAGTACATCTCTTAGATGTGACTTGGACTTACTTAACGAGTTTGGGGAGTCTCAAAGTTTATTTGGTCTTGGCTACCAGAGATAGCAGAAAGAGCAGAGTTTATGATTTGTGTTTGCCAGCTCGCTGAGGCGTGACTTCCACGACTGTGTTGATAAATGCGAAAGAAAAAAAGAAAGAAAAACACATGCGTGGGAGTACATTTTATCAGCTTTTGTCAGCCAGAGTTCCTCAAAAAAAGGAAATTAAGTATACGACAGGTGGATCGTCTCCTTTTTATTCACAAGGTTTTTAGTAAAGTTACATACTCTTCGAGTTAAAACTCTTTTCTGGAGCTATTCATACACTAAAAAAGGTCAAATGTTTATCCACTTGATTCACTACTTTTTACATTTTAAATCTGTAAAAATTCGAAAGGTTTAGTAAACATTTTCAGCCCTGACACGAATCAATTAGCAAGCTGTCGTCTATTCTTTTTTTTTCTCTCTCTAAATAACCTCCAGGATTCAGTGGCTTTCATGGAAATGGATTTTGCGGCTGGCTAAAAAGTTTGCCAATCCGCAAAAACCTTTTTTCCCTTCTTTATTTATACGTAAAACAAAAGAGAAATCCAACAAAAAAAATGTGTTTCGCTTGATTTTTCGGTTAGCATTTTTGGGAATTTGCGTTTGGAACTTTTCCTTCACTCACACTTGTTGTTGTTGAATGCATATTTTAGCATTTTCCCCGCTGCTGCTGTTGCGAATAAAATAATGTTTTTGGCAAATTTTCAAAAATGTATCAATGGCAAAGTTTGGAGCGAGCGAGTGTGTGTGTGTGTGTTGAGCTTTTGTTTGTTGCATACAAATTTTATAGATTTTCAACGCCTTCGAGTGCAGCTGCCAAATATCCTGGAGCCTTATATGCAAAGCTCAGGCTCTCCTGCTTTCACCCTCTGTCTCTCTGGCATACATGTGAGGCAGGCATTTTAAGTGAAAAACGCCATCGTCATGGCTGTCGTCGACATGCCAATGCTTCCGTCTCTCTCTCTTTCTCTTCCACCTCTCTCTCTATCTGTCCTCACCTCTATGGCTGGCTATCCTTTCCATCTCTAACCCCATCTCTATCCATTGTGTGGGGCCAAGAAGCAGCAGCATTCAATAACTTCGAATGGCAGCAGCTATTCCAGTTGGAATTTCAATAAAAATACTTGTCCAGTGTCTCTCTTCTTTTTACTTATACATAGTAGATTGTGGCAGCCAAATCGCTTAATATTATCGACATGCTTTTGCACTAAAAACATTTAAATATTGCATTTATTTTTTGGAATAAAAACCTTAAAATTAATTTTTTTAACATATGCAAAACATATGTTTTTACAAAAGCCTTAAAATAAGTATAGAAAAATCTTTTTTTTTTTTTTTTTTTTTTAATTTTGTAAAACTTAGTTTACCTACTAATTTTAATATTTTGTATTATTTTAGTTTTTCTTTTACATAACGAATAAGTAGGAAAGCTTTAGTTAAGTCAATCCTATGGTGATATACCCGCTACCAAAAGTATTTGTATAATAATTCTTAAATATATGAAAAACTTAAATTAAAATGTTGACAAAGGAACATAAATGTTGCTGGAAACATGTTGCGCAATACCCAAATATAAATAAGTGTTGCTAGGAACATGTTGAGCAACATCCACTTGATAAGACGAATAAAGATGTTGCAGAAAGTTCTACTTTATTTAAAATCAATTTACATTAAACCGAAATTCATAAGAAGTTTCTCTCTTATACAAATTATTTTCTAGATAAATTATATGAATTTATTTTTAAAATATATTATTCAATACTAATTCTCTACTTTCCCCCTTTGATCTTTTACAGTACGGCCAGCGAGTGCCGACGGCAGCCTCACCGAGCAACACCAACTCGAGCAGCTCCTCGAACACGGGCTCCCAGAGCGGAACGCTGAGCACCAGCCTGAGCAACACGACGAATACCAACACGAACATGGGTCCCAACGGCACGGCACAGAATCAAAACCAGCAGGGCGGCGAGCAGTTGTCCAAGACAAATCTCTACATACGCGGACTGCAGCAGGGCACAACCGACAAGGATCTAGTTAATATGTGTGCACAGTGAGTACCAAAAAGGGGGATACCATTTGCATTTCGAATGGTCTGCCAAAAATAAAATCACACAAATCAGAGAAATCAGATATGAATGCAATCAAGCCTTTCTCTCTCTCTCAGCTCGTTGGTGCGTTCTGTGCCCTGCGGTTTTCCATCTTGTCCCTGAGGCATTGGTCTACCTATCACATTAAATTGCATTATGGCTGCCAAGGCACGGCTCCCTGGGCAGGAGGCCATTATGCAAATTCACTTTAATTGTTTTTGCAGCTCCAGGGTTCTCATGTACAGCACATGTATGTATATGTATACATCTCAATGTATGTGTATCAATTTGTATATTAATTTGTATAGGGCCTTTGAAGAGCCGAAGCAGTTGCTAGATGCCTTTGAGCAAGATGCATGACTACCTCGATTTTAATTGAACATTAATAACTGGCAGTGTGGGTTAATTTAGGGGACATAGGCAGTGGAAGTTAATGAAGAAAAACGGTAGAAATCCTTGGAAAATGTTGGAAAGGAATGGGACATTAGAAACGTATTTATTGGAAACATTTTTGGTACTCTAAGTGGCAAAATAGGTGTTTTAAATCGATATTTAACATTTAAAAACTAGAAAGTCTCTAAAACTCATTCTAAACTAAACATTATATATAGATTTTACCCTTATATAGGAATAGTTCTTCATTTTTTAGATAACGAATACATTTCGTAAGTTAAAATGTAATGAAATACACTAACCATATCTAAATGTAACAAAATACTGACGCAATGGAATACATTTTAATTTTCTGGGTATAATATATGATTTTTACCCAAATTGTATTCACTTGCGTTCCTTTTTTTCTCGTTTGTACATTTAGAAATTTGACAATGTATTCCATTCTCTGCCACTTGGCTTGACCGTATCTTTGAGATACGCTTGTATATACATATATCTATCTTTGGTGCCACATCAGGCATACGAAATGCCATCCATACGAAATGAACTAATTGGAAATGTGTGTGACCGACTATTGATTTGCCCCCACGGAGCCAGAGTTTCGGAACCCCGAAAACCATTTCCATCCGCTGTACCCCATCCCCAATGCCTGCTCCCAATCCCATTCCCTCTGCTAATGAGCGGCTTAGCCTCAGTCCATTCCGCTTGGCTGCGTTTTCATAAAGCCACCCACCACCACCAACATTGAGAAGAAGGTCCTTTGCTCTCCATCCTCCTTGCTTCGGGCGGCCAAAAAGTAACCCCCAAAAAAGCAACACTCTTTCCACTTCCACTTCTACTTCCTCCTTTCCTGACTTACTTTCTGCAAACTAAACAAAATCCACTAATTAGTGCGCACGCTTCATCAAAAAATGAACTTTTTTGTTTTGGGGAGCCCGCCAAAATCATTTTTGGCCTCAGGAAGAAGGGAGTAAGAGAAGAAAGAGGAGTGAGTAGGTAAAAACAAGAAAATCAACATTATTATTATGTGTGTATTACGTATACGCACCGTTGGCCACTTGATTATGGTCATGCCATTTCTTTTCTACATAAAAAAACAACTTATTTGCGGCGTCGTCACACGAACATAAAAATACTAATGAAAAGCGCTTATAGCGGAAGCAGAAGGGATCGGGGGGATTCCCAAGTCAAGTAATTAAATTGAAGGTTAATTTGTTTTGCTTTTTTATGCTGCAGAGTCAGAGTCTCTCACTCCTGCTACTCCTGCAGGCAATCAAAATAAGCGGCTTATTAGTAGTTGGGCAAGGCTTAGTGCTTCCAGGGCTTTAATGTTATTATAACCATGTATTTATGGCAATAGTGAGTGGGAATGGGGTCCAGCTAGCTAGCTAGTGTAACTAGGAAGGTATCGATTTAATTTCTGGACAATAATTGCCAGGCATAAATGAGCAGCAACAGCAGGAAGGATGCCGCAAAGGGTTGTACACATTACCATTGCCTACTTTGCAGCGCTCGAGCATAAAAATTGCATTTTAATGACACTTTAATTGCTTATGCTAAAGGTAAACCAGTCCAGGTGTCTATCTCTATCGTAACCGCCACCCCACCATCTAAGCATTATCTGTGGCACGTGGCACCATGCCACCGGCACGCACCCACCCTGCCCGAGGGATAGAGACTTGAATGTGTTTATAATCTGATTATCCACTCTTGTTGTTGTCATGCAACGACAACATATATCCTTTTTAGGTATCCAATATTAACCACACCTGTGTCTCTCTCTCTTTCTTTCTCTTTTTTGCCTCTAACTTTTCAGATACGGAACAATTATATCAACCAAGGCTATTTTAGATAAAACAACAAACAAATGTAAAGGTATTTTTTTCTTCACCATTCTCATCATTATTTTATTTATGTGTGTTTTTGTACAAGTATTATTAGTATGTGTTTATGTAAAAAAAAAAAAAAGAAAAGAACAAGATATCCAAAAAGAACGCAAGAAAAGAAAAGAATATAAACAACCAAAAACTGAAATTTCATTAATTTCCTTTGTATTATTTTCTTGGTTGGTTTTGTTTACAAAATGCTGAGTACTAATTGGAATTTAATTTGATTCTTAGAATTAATATTTATAAATTCTTGTATTCCAAGAGAGCACTCAGCATTTGTTTTTCTTAAATTAAAAAACTTGAGTTTTTTAAAACAATTGATCACAACTTTTATTGCTCGTTCGTTATTGTGTAGGTTATATTATATTATATATATTTTCAATATACCATAAAAGTATATTTGTTCTATACATATCATTTTCGAAATTAAATATATTGGCATTCTAACCAGTTTGCAATTGATTTCCTTCTACTTGCCCTGAGTTCCTCAGTTCGGTTTCCTTCTCATTTCGCAATCGTGTCATTCATGCATTTCCACTGTACTTTTACAACCGATATATAAATATATATTTTAACTGCTACTGATGCACTCGACTAATTACCATTTCGATTATGAAAATATGTAAATATTCCCGGTAAATGAACGAGCTGTATGAATTGTGTATCTGCTGCTCTCTATCTCTGTCTCTATCTATCGATGTATGTGCGTGTATCGATATAAATATACTTTTTAATATATATATAATTTTTTAAAATTATTTTAAGAGTTCTTTTTGTTGGTGTTGTGTTCCCCGCTGAATCTAATTAATTATTAATTTAATTTTCACCCGTTTTTTCTTCCTCCCCCTCTCTCTCTCTCGTAAAATATATATTTTGTTTTTGTTCAATTTCGTTCTTTTCGGTTTCGTTTTTGTTTTCGTTGCACGTGACCCAATGCGAAAATTACACCTCTATTTTTTTTTTTTTAATTCCTTTTCGATTGAATTTTCGATTTCAATTTTCAATTTGTGTGCCAAACAAATATTGGACTATAAATAAACATCTCTCCTCTCGCTCTTTCTCTGCCAATATATTTATTATATATTTATATATATATATATTTATACATGCAATTAAAAAAAATAAAAATAAAATTCCCTCCCCACCCGCAACACACAAAAACAACAACAAAAAATAAACAAAACGAAAAACAACAATTAAAAAAAAAAAAAAAATGAAAAATACAAAAACGAAAACAACGAAAAACAAAAACAAAATATGCTTTTTTGCAGGTTACGGCTTCGTCGACTTCGAGCAGCCAGCCTTCGCCGAGTGCGCCGTAAAAGGATTGCAGGGGAAGGGCGTGCAAGCTCAGATGGCCAAAGTGGGTATCTGGGTGCTTCATAGGCCGGCCATTGTACGTTTGTTTGCATGCAAGTAATACTCACCCCCCACACACCGCAAAAAGTGTCCCATCCCAAAGAGAACCCCAAGCCTGTCCCTTACCCTTTCCCTTGCCAAACTTTCCAAACTTTCCCTAATCCGTTTCCTTATATCCTTTTTTTACCAAATCATTTTTGTGCATTTCGTTTTAAATTGTACCGCCTAGAAGTTGTCTTTCTCTAGTCCAGAGTATTATTTTATTGTTTAAGTTTCAGACATGATTTAGTTTTTCAGTTGGGATTTGGGATTGCATTTTCAAAGGTTTTTTTAGAGAGAATTTTGGTCAAAAAGCAATTATATTTTCCTAACCAACATAGACCGATTTTTATGACGGAAAGTTTTTATAATTTCAAAGTTTATGAATGTCTGTTTAAAATATTTTAAAACATGAACAGTTTTTATTGAAAAGAGGAAGAATTTAAAACCAGAATCAAGTCATTTTAAGGATTTATATATTAACTATTTGGATATAGATTTATTTATAATTTTATAATATTAATAATTTTTTTAATATTATTATTATTAATCTGAAACTATTGAGTTCCAAAATACATGAAATATATAGCTTATCATTATATGGTATTCTCCAAAACTAAAGCTAGCTTTAACTCTTAACTAGTTTTTATTACAAAGTTCAAAAGGAGCCTGTTATTTTATAAATTGGAATGTTCTTAACATAAATGTAAAGATTTCCCTATATATAAATGTCATACGTGAAATCTGCATAAAAGTCGGTCAATGCTAGTGTTGGTATCATTATATCTTACAAATCAGAACCAAATATTTCTTTATTTAACTAAAAAAGAAAATAAAAAACACACTTTTAGGTTCTCAGACCTAATTGTGATGAACCATATGTTAATTATGTTTTCATATGCTTTATCTTTATTGGTTTAACTTCCCTCTCGAGACCCCAGTCCCGATAAAAACCCCCAGAGCCTACCCGAAACCCCAAAAACCTATAGTTCGTAGTGTTGTTCCAAAGACTCTCTTTGTATAACCGTTTGTCGTATACCAAAAGAAAACCACACATACTATATATCTCGATATAACCGAATCTAGACAGAAACAATTTGATAGTAAACCTGAAAACAAGTTACTTTTTAGAATTATTTCCTTTTTTTTACCATCTTTCTTTGCTTAGCGGTAGACTAATTGATAGCGTAATACATATATTTTATAGTGTACATTTCCAAAATATTAATTGAGAATATAACTTCATTTATTAATGACATTCTGTAGTTCATATTTATGAAGCTGGAAAGAGTCATCAAATAAATAATCCCTCTCTTTAATCTTCCTTTAGCAGTTGAATAAAGAACCCCCCAAAAAAATAATGGCATTAAGTGAGAACAATTAATGTTTGTTAGCGGATTTGTTTGGTAAATTAACAGTACTACAGGTATCTTTTGCAGTTTAGCGTAAAACCATTTTCATAAGGTATTCAAATATATTTATATATATTATATATATAGAATGCAGTAACTGAAATGTAAACCCCATTAAATCATTATTAGCCTAGGCCTTACTCATCAAGGTAGACCTAAAGCTGAATTATAGAAGATATTTATTTTTTGTTTTAAATTTAAAAAATCTTTATAGATAAACAAACATTTTAGAACAAGATATTATCTGTATAAAATACATAAACACAAATTACGCTTATTTTCATTAGTTTAGTTTCTCTTAAATAATGAAAACAATTGAAAAGTGTTCAAACTTTTAGCTCTCATATGTAATTTTTTTATGTTTCCAAGAGATTTTACCCATAACTCAATTGTAGCTTAGCTCCTAAATGGGAAATTGGGCTTTAGATATTAAATTTAAGTAGACCTTAGCTAAAGTATTTATCAATTTAAGTAGATCAAGCCAAAAATTAAAATTATTTTACCCATCTTCCTCCCAGAGAGCGGGAAACATTGTAAACATTTCAGTTTTTCAAAATCATAAATCGTAATCAATTATTAGCAGCCATTTACAGCGGCTTACGAGTGCCAAGAGTCTGGGATGGGATGGCCCCGGCATCAATATCAATTTCGGCCATTCATTCGTGCATATTAATAATTTGTAAACAAATCGAAAAGTTTTTCATCCAAAGAGCTTAGCGCCTCGCTCTCTTGTTAGCTTTTTTCCAACTTTATAATCCGATGGCATTAAATGCTCATTAAACACACAAAAACATGGCAAAATAGCGAGAAAAAAACATGGAAAGTTTGCTGTATAATAAAAATCCCAGACCTCATGTATTAGCGTAGGCATTAATGAATTGTAATCCATAGATTTGAACGATTCACACACTCACACACTTACGATTAAATAGAAAAACCAGTACAAATAGCGTATCTCTCTCTTCATATATGATAATATTCTATATATATATTGAATCTGTATATTCAACTGTATAAACTGTATACTCGTATTTTGAAGTTATAGCCAGCCAAAAGTATATAATCAACCTCTCTACTACTTCAACCTACTACAAAGTTTGTTGTTTGAGTACGCAAATTGCTACAAACCTGTGCCGGCCAAAAATCAAACCAAATAAAACCAAAGACAATCTAAACTCTAAGTATAACAAGTCAAACAGATCTCTCATTATAAAACCCTAAAACATTACTGATCAGGTATTTAACTTAGTTAAGCAACGTTTAAGGGCGAAGGTAAAGACACTGAAGGGGGGAAAATCAATCAAGTCAGCGATTAGGTCTCTAAGTTATTCTCCGATAAGTCTCAGGCATTACATCCAAACACTCACACTCTACACACACTCTACACACACTACACACATCTTCGCAAGAGTTAGGCACACTAAAAAGCACACTAACACACTGACAACAGACAAACAGTCCAAAAAGAGTTTGACAACAGAAACATTTTTTGGCTAGCAACTTGAATATTTACTAATGACAAAATCTCTACGTTCTTAATTTCTCTACTCCCCTCTCTCTCTCTAAAAAAAATCAACAACAAATAAAAAACACACTACCCCACACACCCACACACATTTATCAACAACATGCATACGCACACACCAAATAAAAAAAACACACACACACATGCTTACGCCAACTGCTTTTGTGTAACGTTAATTTGTGTGAAACCAAAACAAACAACAACCAACCTAAATCGAAAAAAAAACAACCCACAAATCAAACTAAACTGATTCAATTTCAACAACCACCAACAACAATCAACAACAACAACACCACACCACCCTGATCTGACCCAATTGCATACAACAACCACACAGCAACAGGAACAGGATCCCACAAATTTGTATATTGCAAATTTGCCGCCCCACTTCAAAGAAACTGATCTGGAGGCAATGCTATCGAAATACGGACAAGTTGTTTCGACCAGAATATTGCGTGATCAGCAGATGAACTCCAAGGGTGAGTGTTGGAGTTTATAAATTAACAAACAGGTTGCCACGCAAAACTGTTCCTTTCCCCAAGTGTTCAACTTAATTAACAACCTTTCAAGGTGGCAACCTAGTTTGTTGCAAATCCCCTTCAATAATCATATTCATAATTACTTTATACATCTCTCAACCCTTTAGGCGTTGGCTTTGCCCGCATGGAGAGTCGCGAAAAGTGCGAGCAAATCATTCAGATGTTCAATGGTAACACAATACCGGGTGCCAAAGATCCCCTGCTGGTTAAGTTTGCCGATGGTGGACCCAAAAAGAAGAATCTCTTCAAGACGCCCGATCCGAATGCGCGTGCGTGGCGCGATGTCTCTGCGGAGGGTATACCCGTGGCCTATGATCCCACCCTGCAGCAGAATGGAGTTAGTGTTAATGTTGGCACACCCATTGGTGTTCCATATTCCCGCTTCAGTGCCCCCCAGGTGGGTGGCTATCCAGTGGCTGGCTCCCAATGGATACCCGGTTATATGATGACCCAACCGATCACTCAGGTAGATGATCAGGTGAGTAGTGGAGTAGCATCCATTATGGGGTTTATATATGGCACTGGATTTGAATGAATTACTAAGTAATTGATGTAAAAGAAGCATAGATAATTGTGAAACTAACAAAAGATACTTATTTTTAACAGTATAGATACTTTTTATAGACCAGCCAAGTCCAGTTTCATTTGGGTTTTACCTTGATCCTTGAAAGTGTACTAACTCTTTATCTTAATTTCCTCAGTACATGCAAATGGCGGCTGCCCCTCAGTTGGGCGTTACCTCGTACAAACCGGAGGCAGTGAACCAGGTGCAGCCACGCGGCATCTCGATGATGGTCAGCGGCGACACGGGCGTGCCATATGGAACGATGATGCCCCAGTTGGCCACTCTGCAGATTGGCAACTCTGTAAGCCATTGATCTATTATGAACCCGAAACTCTTTCTCTCGAGTTCCCCTTGCCAAGAGGCAGGCATGCCTCCTTATAGGCCTGCCTGCCTGAGTCCTTGTGGATTGAAAAGAAAGAAAAAGAGTTGAGACAACCTTGAAGATCCACACGAATAGTGTGTGTGTGTTCTTCTCGGTTGGTGTGCTGCTGAGTGTGTAATATCTTGAAAAACGTTGATTGATACTTAATTTTGTACTCTTTCTATTCCTTTCTTTTACTCCAATTATATATTTCCACTTGTTTTCGATTGATTTTTCGATTGGATTTATTTTTGTATTTGTTTTTTTTTTCTCTTTCGTTTTTTTTTCGGTTTCTTTTATAGAACTTTTCTCCATCGTTACAGTATATTAGTCCAACTTACCCATATTATGCACCACCACCAACTATTATACCAACAATGCCAATGACAGATTCCGAACAGGCTAGCACAGCTGCATCACCCGACGAGGCATACACACAGTATCCACATCAAGCCGCTCCCAAATAGGTCTTCGCGAGGTGAGTGAAGTCTTCTCTCTGCCATCAGTGTCTCTCTCCTCTCTGTCTCTCCTCTCTTGGCTCTATCATGGTTTGGGTTTTTGGTCTCCGCCTCTGTCACTATCTCTTCGCTGTCACTGCATCCATCTCTCTGTCCCTGCATTACTATATCTTTTCTGAATTTCTCATCTAAAAGTCACCTAAGAATGTTTCCAGAAAAAGAATTTAATGAAAAAAGAGAAATTTCTTAAGAATCTAAAATATTTATATAAAAAAAAAAAACAAATTAAAAAACTACTAAATTACTGATCTTAATTTTCAAAAGAAAGTAAAGTTTAATTTAAATTTTGGAAAATCTGTAACATATTTAAAAAGATTAAACATACATAAATAAATTAAACTATTAAATAAAAACCTTTCTTGTATAAACAACTTTCGAGTTAATAAGAAAACTTATCCATATTTTTATTGTCGTAGCAGCTTGTCATCCAGTTTTTTGTGTTTACCCACACTGTTTTGCATGTGCGCTGTTTGCTCTTAGAGCAAGACCCAAGCTTCCCTTTGAAACGAGCACTCACCCACCTCGAAATAATAAACCGCCTCACTCGCCTCATTTCATTTTCTTTTACACTGAGCTTTTTCCTTTACCACAAAGGCTACAACACTAAGGATTTATCGAAAAGAAACGTAATATATCGAAATATAGATCATTAACTTTGACGAATCCAAATAAATAAATATTCTAAAATATTCGGAACGCTTTAAAACAAGTAAAATGGAATATTACAATTATATTGATCCGATTTATCTTATTTTCTAACGTTAAAATATCGGTCGTCAAATTTCGATAGTTTCGATATATTAGTATTGATTTCTATACAAAACACTCACAAAACTAACAATCATCATCGGGGCTTCATGTGTTTTGTGTGCTCTGCTTGTTGTTGCTTGCGCCTGTCTGCTTCAGAACTGTTCATTACATTATACTTAATTTTTCAACGATTTATGCCTTTTCAATACTAAACATAAATGCATTTTATTTCTTTCTTCATCCACCCATCATTTTGCGGCTTGAAAACATGGTTGTTGCATACATATTGTTTCATATAGTACAGTTACTAAGCAGCCTAATCACTGGTAACCCTTACTAGGTAAATATCATCTCATTCTATAAACTTGCATGTGACCCTCGGGATGTTGTCTCCCTTTAATATTTAAATCCTTTACTTAGTACAAAGAAAACTTTTACTAATTCTGTGTAATTGTTGCAGCTATAATATATTAGTACCCCATTTGAGTACTATATAATATCGGACGAGAGTGAGAACGTGATGCCCGGTGGAAGCCAAGGAGGGACGAAAATCAAGAGAAAAACGAGGATAAGAAAAAAGGAGTCAACAACAACAACCACCATATGAACAACAACAACACACCACAACTAGCGGAAACAACAAGCAACATTCGGCAGAAGAAACCGGGAAGCAGATGCAGTTCGCATAATTAAATCTAGAGAAAACCTGCAAACCCCAAAAAGATAAAAAAGAAGAAAAAACAGAAAATTATGTATAAATAAGAGAAAGGAGGTTGGGATACGAGAGGATAAAGTTTAGGGGTTACACACGAGCAAAAGGTGAAGCCGCCGCCGCCGGTCTCGAAGTAAACGAGCGCTGAAGACGCGAGTAAAAAGTGAAGAAAAGCAAAGACTAAACTTAAATAATAGAGCATAGTTATACACACTAAAAAAAACAACAACAACAAGCGAGAGCAGCCGCAAAAGCAGAGCTGAAACAACAACAAACAGCAGCTAACAACAAAAAAAAGAAAGAGCGCAGTCGAAAATATTTACAAAAAGAGCACTGCAGGATGCGTAGAATCCGAGTTGAAGAAGCTTGAGTCAAAGTTAAAGGAAGAAAGAGGAAATCTGGCGAGAAAAAACCAATCGCAGATTAGAGTTAAGTTAATTTTGTTAAGCGAAAGTTAGAGGGAGAAGAAACAGTTGCATGATGGGAAAGCCGAGTGGAAGAAGTGATGTAAAAATAGAGGAAGAAACTATTTTGCTAATTTTGAGCTAGCAAAAAAAAAAATTAAAAATCTAAACAAAAAAAAAAAAAAAAAAACAAAATACAAAACCCGTAAGCAGAGAGAAATTTTGTGAAGTGAAAGAGAAGAAACCCAAAAGCAGAAACAGAAAACAAAAATAAATGTGTGTGCAATGTATGTTAAAACCGTAAAACAAAAAACAGAGCAAATAAAAACGAAACAAAAGTCATTTCGACTCGATGATGATGATGATATAAAACCAAGCATGTAACTCTTAAGTCAAACTTTTGGCAAAGAAACGCGTAAAAAAGCGAAACTTTTTTACCTTTTGGCGGCAAGAAGAAGATTTTTACGATAAAGAAACTCGGACCTTTGTTTCTGTTCTGTTTGTCTAATTTGTAATATTTATTTTTTGTATTTTTTTTGAACCGTGTTGAACAGCACAAAGAGAGTGGAAGAAAGCAGAAGAGAGCGTAGATAGCCACTAAAAAAATGAAAGTAAGGAAAGGATGGTCATTTGATTTCTAATTTTGAGTTTGAACATGAAAATTGTATAAAGCAAAGATCATAAAACATAAACCGAGAGCCGCAAATAGGGAAATCCAATGGAAAAGGAAAACCAATTTATGTTTTCCCCCATTTTCACATTCATTTTGTGCTATCCAAGCAGTCAAAGCAAGTAAAAAGAAAGTAAATCTAAACAAATGAGAAGAAAAAGCCTTTGAAACGGGCGAAAATAACCTAGGTTAAGTCTTAGCAAAACAAAAAATAAGAAAAGTGGCAGTAAGCTAACAAACAACAGATTTAGTAGTTCTAGAAATCTAAAAGAAAAGAAAAGAAAGAAACACAGAAGAATAAGCAAAAGCTTAAAATGAACGTTGAAAAACGAGATAAAAAGAGAGAAAAGAGCAGAAGAGGAGATGAAGAAATCTTGTACTAGTTTTTAGCATATTTTTTGTGCTCATCAGTCGATTTAATGAATGAATTTTTTGTAGCTGTCTACAGTTTTTTACGTTAACTGTTTTTTAGAAATATTAATGCAAAAAGTAAACACAACAACAACAAAAAAAAAAAGAAGAAAACAATAACAAAATGAACCTAGGAATAGTATATTTTTCTGCATAGGCAAAGAAGAGTTGTTGAGATCGCAGAAGAATTGTGAGGAGATTGAAGAATGTGGCAGGAGAATCAGTTTGATTAGCAAGAAAATAACAACCAAGAGGCAAACACTTTTTAAAAGGGATTAGCGAAGCAACACACAAACGTAGCGAAAACACACAGAACAAGAAAATAAAATTTTGAAACTGTAGAATTGTAGTTTAGCTTTGTGATGCGAAGGAAATGGTACGATTTTTTGACGGATCAGAAAGAACAACAGCAGCAGCAACAACAACTGGCACAGGCAGTAGCAGAAATGTAAACATAAAACCAAGAAAATTAAGGTTAAATTAAAAAAAAAGAGAACTACGTTTAGTGAACTTAGTTAATAAGCGAAGATTTCTTTAGTCTTGTAAGCGTCTCTTAAGTAGAGTTTTCGAGAACGGAGCAAGGAGTTTAGAATTGAAATTTAATCCTTTTTCAAAGCCTAGTATATATTTATTTTCCTGAGACACACACACACACACAAACAACACTGACACACCTATCAAGCCTAAGCATTGTATTTGTGATTTTTTCGAATGTGTTAATTGATTAACAAAAACGATGAAACAAGGGAAATATGTGAAGTGGGTTGGGAAAATTGGTGTGGAGAAAGATTTTTTTTTGAGAAGAGAATCTCCGTTTTGAGAGAAGGACACAAACACACACTCACACACGGCAAACAACATTCCTGAGCAAAGTCTTTGATTTGATTTTAATATATGTATGAGATGTGTTACGATACGATATGATTTTCAAGTTTAGAGTTGTCGAGTCGCCTAACTGAACTATCTACATATATATATATATATTCATTATATATACATCTATATATATATATATATAAAAACGTAAGAAAAACACAACGCCAAAAGTCTTCCTAAGCCTAAAACCAAAACAACAACAAAATGCAAATGTTTTTCTATTTTTTTTTTTGTTTTTTTTTTTCTTGTTACAATTATATTTGCTTTAGACTGACTACGAACTGAAACTGTAACAATAACAACAACAAATGCAGGATTGTAAGAAGCTAAACACACCTACACTACATATATAGACTCTCCACCTCCTGAACTTGATATGTACTATGTATGCAGGCATCGGAAAAATATATATTTTTTGCCAAAAACATTCCAAAAGCAAAACAAACAAGAAAGGAAGCTAACTTCGGCTAGCCGAAGTTGAAATACCCTTGCAGTAAGTAAAAAAATAAAAAATAGTTTAAGAGTTTAAGTTTAAGTAAGGATTGCGGTTAGTTTCAGTAAATTTTATTTTTTTCGAAATTCACGTACTAAGCCCCCACACCACGACAAGGTCTCAATCCACGAGGGGGAAATTATAGCTAAATATGAAATATATTGGAAAATTTGTTAATATTTTCAATTTTTTTTATATATTTACAATACTATATTTACAATAAATTCTACTTATAGCCATAATTTGTTAAATAACTTAAGTATACACTCTTACAAGCTATATTTAAAAAAAATACCATCATGATGGCTATAAGGTGTTTTATATGTAAGGGCAACAGCTTCTGGAACTCGAGAGTCAGAAAATATCCAATCAATTTGGGTTTGGTGTTTTGTCGTTGCAGAATTATTCAATGACAAAAGATTATGTCCATTCAAAAATTCCTCCAAAACATCGCTCGCTGAGGATCTGCAGATATTAAAATCTCCTAATATTACCACTTTATTATTATCCATTCTGCGTACTTTTTCAACTTCAGATTTAATTTCATTTCGAAATCTTGCAATAGGAAATCCGGGACTCCTATACACAATTATAAATGACGTGTCAAGATATTTAAAAACAATCGATTGATAGGTTGCTCTGGGACTTGGCGATTTCTTTGTCTCAAAAAGAAATTGCACATTTGACGAAATACTTTGTTTAGCATATATGAGTATTCCGTTTTTCCCAATACCATTTAACCGATTGTTATCAATTCTTCTGATAATGTCGAAATCCCTTAAGTTGTACTCTTCCTGGGGAAGAGTCCAGGTTTCAACAAAACATAAAAAGTTTGCAGAACAAATAATGTTGTCATTGGCAATGTCTTCGCGATGAGCGCGAAGAGACTCAATGTTGTGATAATACATGGAGATGGCATTATCCCCATTGATCAATAATTCATACTGCGTAGTCAAGGCCTTTTCACCTCTTAAGCTTTCTAGCTCTGCTTGGACATTTGTAGCTCCAAATCTAGTTGGAGGAACAAAGTCTCCTAAAAGGAAAAGACCCGATGCGCTTGTTGCTCTGCTGCAACCTACGTAAAGCGAAGCTCGCTTAATGCCCCTTTTAAGGTGCACTGCGACTTTGCTGTAGGTTGCTCCTTGGCTTTTATGTATAGTTATAGCCTCAGCAGGAACAACAGGGAATTGTTTTCGATCAACCGAAGAATGTCCTGAGCTTCCGCATTGGAATACTCGAGCTGTTTTTTCAATTGGAGTCCAATCTGGATGATCATTTCTCCGAACTTTTGACCTGGCCATGGCACCAACTGTAGGATCTGAAAACTTAATCCAAAGTTTTGTTACTAACCTAACGTTGTTTACCATGCAGTTGTCAATCTGCATTAATTGGCCTGTTGCCCCATTTACCAGTCCATCATTTGTATCTATATTGACGGTAACCATATACTTTGCTGTTGTTTTTAGATGCAGAATATATGGCAGTCCCTGGGTTTCGGACGTTTTCATATTTTGGGCATTTCTGAGAGTTGTTTCTTTATTTCTTACTGACATATTAGCTGATTTCACAGTATCTATGGCAGTTGAAACAAACTCTTCTGTGGCGATTTGAGCGAGCTTTAAGGCGTTGTACTGATTAACCTCGTCATTGGAAGCAAATAAGTGGATTGCGTCATCCGGAACGTCGTTTGGCGTGACAACTCTTTGCCTAAAAAGCACCACATCTGCATCTGTCATGTTAGCTTCTGACATGTTATTCAAAGCCAAAGCAAATGCATGATCGTCCCGTTGCCTCATTATTTCTGTTAGCTCGAAATACCTAAAATTACTCCACAGGTTTGTGCCAGCCAGAATGTTATACGGATTTGAGATATTCTCTAGGAATATCCACCGATCTCCTACTGGGCACAGCTGCTTCAGATCTCCAAACACTATAATAGACTTACCGCCAAAAACTACGTCTTGGCTTCTAAAAATTTGTCGAAGTCTTTGATCTAAATATCCTAGCGTTTTAGATCCGACCATCGAGATTTCATCGATGATAATTAATTGGAGGTCTATTAGCTTGCAATGCATTGTGTTTATGGAGTCATTGCTTAAAGGTCTTAAAGGACCTGATGTTTGATTCACTGGAAGTGAGAAAACGGAATGAAGTGTAAGTCCTCCAATTCCAAAAGCTGCTTTTCCAGTAGGAGCACAAAGTAAGACCTTTGCAGAATCCGTTGCTCCCGGTAGCTTATTAGCTCGCCAAGTTATAGACTGATATATAGTTGAAATCAGTCTGCTTTTGCCAACTCCAGCACCTCCCCCAACATATTCATAAAATGTTTTTTTGGCTGCTATATTATGCATTACGTGGGCATAATACTGACGTTGCTTTGCGTTAAGCGACCTGGACAGCGAGCAAAGGTTATCATCAGAAACTAACGGGGGAAGTCTAATTAGTTGAAGTTCGCCATCTTCTGTGTTATTTACAGCATTGTCATCTTGGAGTATATTAACGTTTTGTCCGACGTTTGGTACCGCCAAGGCCCTAAATTCTTCATCTAGATATTGAGAGGCAGGTTCCTGAGGTAGAAGCCCATTATCTTCTCTTTCAAAATTTTGCAAATCTTGAAGAACTCTCTCTAGTTCCATATCATCAAACACATCATATTGCTCTTTGTTGCGCTTAATGATTTCATGATTATTTCTGAATGTCATTTCATTGTCATTCGAAAGAAGTTCAGTCTCTTCATTTCTCCATGGGAAGAAAAGCATTACGTGCTCTCTGAAATAATCAGAAGGGGAAGAGTTTATGCTAAAGCGAACCCATCTAAGAATTAAGGCATGCTTGCGTCTTTTGACACTCCCAGTTCCATCTAGCAGTTGGTAGCTTTGGTTAGAAATGGGATTTTGTTCATTTAGTTCCAAGTCGATCGCTTCATCATAATCTTCGTTGGACGGTTCTGATGGTGCGTTTACCTTGGAAAATTTGTACCAAGCTGCAAATTCTGCAAGGCATATCGATTCTAAGTCTCCATGCCTCTGTACGTACCGATCAAGCAAGTTTTGCTCGAAAATGTC